CCCCAAAACCCCAAAACCCCAAAACCCCTTCTTTAAAGTTAATAATAAAATCACACACCACAATGTTGTTCAGTCCGCTAACTAAGAGCAAGCTTCAGAGCTCAAAGGCCTTTTTGAACAGAGCCAGGCAAGGACTCCTGAAGGGAACTGTAAGCACCCCCTCATATATTCTTCCTACTAACTTAGGAATTATACCAGGGATTATGAACATGAACTTGCCAGAAATCTCTCCTGTTCCGGTCCAATTCTCCCTTGCTGATATTTATCACCTTCGGGAAGTGATAGAGAAGTACCAATCAGATTACCCCTCCCTCTCATCACAGACTAAAAATCAAAATGAACCCAACCCCTTGCTGTCATATCTAAACCATCCAAAAGATACAGTTAGCTTGCTCACCATGTCAACCTGCGGCTCTGATAAAATTCTAGGAAATTACAAAACCATGGAAATGGATATACCAAGTACAAGTAAGTAGAATCAATTTGAGCATGGGTCTTTGACTCGATATGGAGTTTAAGTAAAATTATCATGCTTCATCTAAAACTTAGGGTTTGCTGGGAGCACTAAAAATTAGTTTACAATAACCGATGCTATATAGTTCACCCAGGTAATAAAAATCGGTATGTCAGAATAACCCTGTAGCCTCTCCCTTCAAGATTTCTCAGCAGCAATAGCTACGTTCAAGCCTGATTTATTCATTACGCCAACACACTCGATCACAGCCAAGACCAGTAAGAAATAAGCGTGAAAGAGCAGTAAAGACTAGCAGAGAGTACATAAATCCTTCTGTGCTAAACTTGGTTCAAGACAGGTATGGCCACTTCTCATAGCATAGAGGGCCTCAGGTCCTGATGACTATCAGCATTGAAGAGTCTTATCCTAAAATTTCTCCAATAATTGATGAGAAAATCAGCCAGTTTGGAGAGAAAATCTCTGGATACTTCTTTAATACCCATTCTTTGAAACCACAAACAAGGTTCGCAGTCTTTCAAAAGTTCTATGAAAGATATCCAACAGATGAAAAGTTGAGAGTCCTTGAAAGCTCAGGAAACCCAACAGAGGTCTTAGAAAATTTAGTGCTCAATGGTATTGATCTCTTTGAAGCAAGGTACCCTATTGACGTTAGTGAGAAACATCACTGCCTTGCTTTTGATACCGAGATGCCAAACGAATGGAGAAGTACGCCGGTTGATACTGAGTTTATCAAAGAAAGTTTATCAAACCCAACTAAAACTCCTAGAACATTAAATTTATCAAGGTCAGAATTTAGGAAAGACTCTACCGTTTTGACATCTGGAAGCAAGTCCCCTTTGACTAATTCTATCACTCGGTCTTACATTCATCACTTGCTTGATTGTAAAGAGATGAATGCTTCTATTCTGTTGACCATTCACAATATTCATGTGTATGATAACTTCTTCAAGGCAATGAGGTCTCATATAGCTGACAACACTCTTGAAATTTACACTCAATGGTTCTTGCAAACTCAGTGTAAATAAATCTCAATCTAACTAAAAAATTTAGGGGTTTTGGGGTTTTGGGGTTTTGGGGTTTTGGGG